TAAGATCTTTAGCCATACATTTTACTAAACGAAGACAAGTTTGTTTAATTTTATGTACAACTAATGCCCCATCTTTGTATGTATGAGGCTGTATATGTATTCCAATTTTGAGCTCAATTAGAGGATGATGTAGTTTGGGTCAACAATTTAGCTACAACTTGTTGAAATTGAGGAGGAGATGTGGCGTAATACATCCATCATTCAACTATATAGAATGGAAACACCATTTAAAAAAATCCATTTACAAATTAAAATTTGGTTAAATTTTACTTTACCCCTTTGTGGTTTGGCTCATGTGTGGATCACCTCTGGAAATAACCACATAAACCCGATATAGTTTGTGAACTAAAGTGCATTGTTACATTTTCCATCCAAAGCAACCGGAGGTACAACTCACTTGCCATCATTGAGACTAGGTGTGAGTAAAATAATTTTTTTAGACCAAAATACCCTTATAATGTGGCATATATACATATTTCTATACATTATGCAAGGAGATCTTGTTCGAACATCTGCTCAAGCCTTTTACCTTAGCAAATCTAATGTCAACATTTTAATTGTATAATTGGAACAGAGAGAAACAGTTAGAGACAAACAATCCTTTTGTTGAGATCTTAATACCCATCCATAACTAAATGGATGACCTTCATTCCTTGTTTTGAGTCCAGAGTAAATTAATGAGCATTTCAGTCTCGGTTAGCAACATATAATTCACTTCAGACATTGACGATTCCTCACATGGCAATCTCGAAAATGGAAGAAGTGAGAGTTTCGGGCCTTTGTCTATTCTCATGGGATGTGGGGGGCTATGGAGTGGTGGTCGGTGGAGTGGGGATTGGCAGCCATGGAGGAAGAAGGGAGAGAAGATGTATGTATGTATGTATGTATGTATGTATGTATGTACATGTATGTTTAATTTAGAAGAGAGAAAGAAGAAGAGAGTATAAAAGTCAATTCACATGTTCTGTTAATAGAAGTAAGTGTGTGTTTTAGTCCACAAACCACATGGGGGTTATGTGGTTATTTTTATATGTCACGGAGGTGATCTGCACATGGACTAAACCATCAAGGGGTAAAATAAATTTGCCCTTAAAATTCTTATAAGGAGGATAAAAGATTAAGTTTGAATCTTGAAGTTTCAAGCTCTAAACTAAATGAATAGGTCTTAAGTATTTCAAACAAGCGAAGATCAACAACAAAGAGAGAAATGAAGAAAAATGTGAACTAGATCAAGTTAGGGTATGGTATGTGCCGATAGAGGCCATTTCAGGAGGGCCATAAGCAAGCCAATTCGAACCGAGTAATAGGTTGTTCAAGCTTGGCCTGAAAATTTAACAGGCTTCAAAATGTGTTTCAAGTTTGGCTTGTTTATTTTTCCAGTTGATCTCAAATGAGCTTTAAGCAAAATGATCACGAGCCGAGCTTGAGTACATCAATTTTTTTATAATGAACATCAAGCCAAATTTGAGCAGGATTCAAAAAATTAACAAGTTTTAAAATGTATTCAAGCTTGGCTTGTTTATATAACGAACTAACCTTGAACAAGCTTTTAAGCTCAAGTAGCTTGGTTTGTTTTACAACCCCAAGTATTGATCGTATTAGTTAAAGCCGTATGAGGAGTGGATTTTTTTTTTTTTTTTTGACCTGACAAATTCATGCGTATCCAAATAGGGATTTCCAAAAACCGTTACATAACTGCCAATACATTACGTTACGGCTGATATTTATGTAATTATCATTGTTTGTCCCTACTCCTTTTCAATTTCTCCTTCTCAAGTGGTGCTTGGGTTATTTTCTATAAAAATTCAACTTTGCCAATTTTATTGACAAAATGAAGAAGAGAAAATCAGCAAAGAGAGCAAGAGACGGAGAGCTGTGAGCACATAGTGTTGCACTCACTGCCACCAAAAATTTGTTGCAGATGTTTAGGGCCACTATCCGTTCATGCTTATTCTCTAGGGTCAGTTACGGGCCGGTCCTACAGACCAGACTTTATTTACTAACAAGTCTTGTTCCAACTTTTAATGATAAATTTATCACTATAAAAATATATTGAAAAAGTACAATTCAACTACTTACACTTACCACCTCATATTTCAATACAAACTAACACAAATAAACTAAAAGTAAAAACGTGCAAACAAAAGCCAAAATGTCCTAACCATTTATCACTTTGATAAATTTCTCAATATCATAACTAGTTCCGAATGATCATTCCACAAACGCAAAACATACATCAGCCTCAAAATGTTCTCTTTATCAAAACAAGGGGCAAATATGTTTTAAGAAAAATAAAAAAATAAAAGAAAAAAATATATCGCCAAGGACTTATGAGTAAATAAGTCCGGTCCATAGCAGTGTTTTTAAAGGCTCAAGGCGCACAAAGGCGTTGAAGGTCTCTCGAGGCCTAGGCGTAAGGCGAGGCGCAGGCTTTATTGAAGCAAGGCGCACAGTCTTAGTAAAAAATAGATAAATTAACATAGACTAATCATTCATAGTACTAAGACAATTTTTTTTAAATAAAAAAGTAATCAAGACAAATTATAGAATAATTCACAAAGCCATGAAAGTGCATAACACAACAAATAAATGATTCACAATTTCAGTATAATGTAATGTGTGATGTGATAAATTAATTATTTTTTATTTATTTCTAACAGAGACTCAACTCAAAACAAAGGCATAATTGAAAAAAAAAAGTAGAAAAAAAAGACGAGCATAAGAGAAGCCAGCCAGGCCAGCAAAGACAGCAAAGAAGAAAAAGCAGAATAAGAAGAAGAAGAACAGAGGGCAAACAAGAAGCAGGAAAAAAAAAACAGAGAGCAAGAAGAAGAAGAAAAAAGAGAGAGAGAGAGAGAGTCGAAGTCGAAAAAGCAAAAAAAAAAAAAAACAGAGCAAGTCGACAAAGTAGAGAAAAAAAAGCAGCGAAGCAGCAAAGAAGAAGAAGCAACCAGCAACCAGCAACCAGCGAAGAAGGGAAAGAAGGAGGAGGAGGAAGAGAAGAAGAAAAAAAAAATTCACCCAGCAACCAGCAACCAGCGAAGAAGTCCTTCACCAACACCACTATCATATTATATACATGCCACTATCTACCACCAACACCACTATCATATTCTATACATGCCACTATCCTTCACCAACACCACTATCATATTATATACATGCCACTATCTACCACCAACACCACTATCATATTCTATACATGCCATTATCCTTCACCAACACCACTATCATATTATATACATTAACACAAATTTCCAGCACATAGACTAATCATTCATAGTACTAAGACAATTTTTTTTAAATAAAAAAGTAATCAAGACAAATTATAGAATAATTCACAAAGCCATGAAAGTGCATAACACAACAAATAAATGATTCACAATTTCAGTATAATGTAATGTGTGATGTGATAAATTAATTATTTTTTATTTATTTCTAACAGAGACTCAACTCAAAACAAAGGCATAATTGAAAAAAAAAAGTAGAAAAAAAAGACGAGCATAAGAGAAGCCAGCCAGGCCAGCAAAGACAGCAAAGAAGAAAAAGCAGAATAAGAAGAAGAAGAACAGAGGGCAAACAAGAAGCAGGAAAAAAAAACAGAGAGCAAGAAGAAGAAGAGAGAGAGAGAGAGAGAGAGAGTCGAAGTCGAAGAAGCAAAAAAAAAAAAAAACAGAGCAAGTCGACAAAGTAGAGAAAAAAAAGCAGCGAAGCAGCAACGAAGAAGAAGCAACCAGCAACCAGCGAAGAAGGGAAAGAAGGAGGAGGAGGAGGAGAAGAAGAAAAAAAAAATTCACCCAGCAACCAGCAACCAGCGAAGAAGAAAAAAGGAAAAAAAAAAAAAAGCAACCAGCGAAGAAGAAGAAGAAGAAGAGGAAAAAAATTCACCCAACCCAACAACCAGAGAAGAAGAAAAAGAGAAAAAAAAATGGTCGAATCACAGCGAAGAAGAAGAAGAAGAAGAAGCACTGACCTGAATCGAAGTCGAAGTCAAAGTCGAGAGAGGAGCCTAGAGGAAGAGACGACATAGATTTCTTTGATAGATTAGGGATTTGAGTCATATACTGATTTGGGTTGGGTTGGGTTGTGTTGTCTGAGTTGTAATCCTATGTGGTTGGAGCCTTTCGAACATAGATCACAGCTGTTAGATCAGAATCAAGAAGAAGAAAAAAAAAAAAAAAAAAGTCCCTTAGGCTCGCACCTTGAGCCTCGCTGCGCCTAGTCCAAGTCGTGTCCAATGCGCATGACTCATCAAATGCGGCTCGCCTTGGTCCCCTTCAGGCGCACTCCCTGTGCCTTGCGCCTAGGCGCGCTTTTCACAACACTGGTCCATGGGACCTGCTAGTAATTATCCCTATTCTCTTTATTATTATTTAGCTCTATGGGTGGCGCTACGATCCCTCTTCAGTAGAGGGTATTGGTTTATTCCCTTGCATACATATGCATATGCATATGTATATTTATTTATGTATACATTCATGTATGGAAATAATATTATTGTCCTGTTAATTGTTTAGGATTTCCGTTGTTACTAAAAAAAATTATGATGATTGTGCTGCACTGAAATTGCTTAGTTATTTGCCCTAATTTTTCTTCCACTTTATATTTATAATTTGTGAAAAAATAAGACTTGGTCCAGTGAACATTAATGTGACTTTATGAATGAAGATTTGAAAGATGGCTAATTGTTTATGTTGTTAATGGTTGTTTTGAGATTTGGTTAAGTAGGTTTTGAAGTAATGAAGAGTTGTATTCATGAATGCTGATGTTCTCTCTCTCTCTCTCTCTATATATATATAGTTAGATAGATATTGATATATATATATATGCATACATGCTTCCTTAACGTATTTACAAAGTTCTAGTACATTGTATATACTAGATTGTTGCATAATTGAATGGTAAAGTCTGCAGTAACAAATAGTATACGGTACTTGGTTGTTTACATAACACATTAATGGTTGTTAATAAGTGAGATATATCTTAATTTTTCCTTGCAGGTGTCCAGTCATTGCTATAGATTTTGCATATGGCACCAATAGATAAAACAATATTTTGTTTCTGTCATTGGGGTGGTGAGAATGTGGTAGGGAGTGATGGATCTGTCACATACACGGGTGGTACCACCGAGCAGTTTCTAGTGAAGTCAGGTATACCGTATGAGGCATTCAAGAAGGTTGTTTTTGACAGACTGGGTATCGAGCCTTGGGGAAAGTCGTTGCATTTCACTGTGAAGTTCAACAAGAAACAATTAATACGCTTGAAAGACCAGGATGGAGTTGACCATCTAATACAATTCAATGATGATTTTGCACACGTCTATATTTCAAATGACGATGCAGATCCCATTGCCACACCTGTTGTGGATGGCACAAGGTAAAAGCAATCTAACTTTACCATTTGGGACTGGTGCAGTGGTTTGTTATTTGAGTTGTGGCAGTACAGAAGCGATTAATGATCGTGGATCTTTAATATCGCAGGGGTGCAACACTAGAGGTTGAACCAAATCAAATCCAATCTGAGGATGAATATGTGAGTGAGGATCATTCAGCGTCAACACCACCTGTGACTACCTCATGTAATGATGCAGCACTGCTTGCCTCTACCATGTGGCATGCAGTACTTGTGGGAGAAGGGCAAGCATTTGAGAATGCTGATGCATTTCGGCAAGCAGTATTCAAATACGCTATTGCCAAGAAGTTCCCTTACAAATTCAGTCATAATAGATCGAACTACTTGAGTGTGGGATGTGCTATTGATGGGTGCCAATGGAAAGTAACTGCCAGCCATGAGGCTTCTACTAACTTTATTTCAATCAAGAAGTTTGTTGATTGTCATACTCATTCTCTACTGGATGAAACAAACTTTAAACCCAAATTCAGGGCTAAGCTGATGGGAAGTATTATTCAGAAAGAGAGTTTGGATTGTCCAGCATTGCCACGAGAACTTTGCAGTGACTCTTTGAGGAATTTTTCCATACCATTGACCTATCACCAGGCTTGGAGTTTGAAGGAGAAGGTGAAGAAGGAACTTGAGGAAAAATTGGAGAATTTGTTCAAGTTAATCCCAGAGTTTTGCAATCGCCTGAAGGAAGCTATGCCTGGAACTGTAGCTACATGGTCATGTACAGAAGACAACATATTCAAGTGGCTTTTTGTTGCATACGAGTGCTTGATACGTGGCTTCCATGCCGGGTGCAGACCTTTGATTTTTATTGATGCTTGCTACTTAAGTGGTCCTTGCGAAGGCCGTGTAGTAGTTGCTTCTTCTTTGGATGCAGACAATGGGATGTATCCACTTGCTTATGGTGTACTTATGTCAGAAGATGAGGAAGACTGGCTGTGGTTTCTACAGCACTTGAAGCTTGTGGTACGGGACCGTGAGGTAGTCATAGTTTCTGAAAGAAACCCATCTATGCTACTGGGTGTGGACAAGATATTTGGTGTGGATAATCATGCTTATTGTTATCGTCACGTGCAAGAGATTTTCAGTAAGTTTATTGATACTAATCATGACTTTAAGTTGAAAAGTCAAGGAAAAGAGACTGCATTTCAGTACCTAAATGAAATTGCTTATGCACGAACCATGGAGGTATATAATAAAGCCCTTGCTAAAATGCGTACGCTCCACAAGGAGTTATCTGATTGGGTCATTGCTAGTGGGCCGGAGCACTGGTCTAATGCTTTGTTCAAGAAACCTCGTTGGGATTGGCTGTATAGCAACCTTGCAGAGTCATTTAATGCTTGGTCAGAGGAGGAGAGCTTGTTGCAAATCCCAAAAATGATGGAGGCTCATTGCAAGAAGTTATCTGAGATTTTGCTTAATAAAAAAGCTAAATTGGGAAGTTGGAAACTTCTGTTTGGCCCTAAGATTGTTGAAAAACTTTTGGAAAACGAAAAGCTTGGTCATGATCTAGTTGCAACCTTCCGATCTGTTTTTGAGGTTGAGGTGCAGGAACAGTATGCAGAGAGAGTTGTCGTGAATCTCAAGTTCGGAACTTGTACCTGTTTGGAGTGGCAAATGACTGGTATACCATGCCCACATGCATGCCGTGCAATTGCACTAGCTAATTTTGATGCATATCAGTTTGTGGCGGGTTGGTACAAGAAGGAGGTGCAGGAACTTATATATGCCGAAGTTTTGCCTGGTTTTTCAAATATTGAAATGCCATGTCCCAGTGAAGTTGGTACTGCTGGTGTCCAAGGGATCGAAAATGGTTTCACTTCAAAGAACAACATCATCCTTGGTTTGCGTCCACCTAGAACTAAACGACCACCAGGCCGCCCACGGAAGAATCCAACTGAATCCAAAGTCCTGCACGTTAGACGTCCACACTGTTCACGTTGCAATGGTGTTGGGCACGAACATAAAACATGTAAGGCACCTTCATGGATGTGGGAGCCTCGTGGATGATTGGGTTTTGCTGGTGGATATATGTTTCTTCTCATTTAACTTTTGTACGAGGATTGTTGACAGAATGTTTCACTTGACTATCAAATGTTCAATAGGTTGTTGGTTTATTTTATTGGTGTACAGAGTCTGACTGAATTGATTGCATACAGCCAAAGCTGCTGTGATAATTATTTCATGTCACACAGCTAAAGCTTCATTTTGCTTAACAAACTTGTTTTTCTTTTACCTTGGTAGCAACTAAAACCCACTGCAGGAACAATTGTTTAAGGTATGGCATTTTCTTTCTTAATTTAGTTTTTCTTTTTAAAAAAAATAATAAATAAATAAATAAAATTGTTTGACAAGTCTTTTCAACAAATGGAGTTTCCTTTGGAACGGTCAGCTATAAATTATCGCATCTGTACATGTAGTTTTTTTTACTCTTGTATAGAAGTCTTTCACGCGATTAATGCTTAATGAATTTTATACCACCAGAATTCTCATTTGATGACAAAATTGTCCATGCAGAGTTTCAGGTACTGATCTCATGAAGCAAACAGCTGCAATGGCAGTGTTGCTGCAGATGTATGCACTAGAGAGATTATGATGCAGGTCATCTCCACATGTTCAATTGCTGTTTCAAGAAGTTTGTAACAAGCAGGGTCTGATGTCAGCTACTGGAAGGACTATGCTCATCTTGATGACAATCTAATGCTTTGTGGCTTGAAGGTCCGGTGGTCTACCTTCATCTAGAAATACTTTCATTTCCATGACAGCTCTTTTTCTTAGCTCAGTGTTTTTGTCACTGCTTGGGTTTGGAAACTTCTGTAAATATTGACACCTCTTTTATGTGTGTAGAATGGTGGATAATGAACAGTTTTGTAATGCATTTTCTTGAATAATGTGTAAAATGCCAACTCTGAAAGCATAGACTTGTGAATCCTTCTTGCCAAGTTGATCAGAATGAAGGCGTAAGAATTTTTAGTATCTAATTCTTTTTTTTATAGTATCTAATTCTGAATAGCAATATATTGTGCAATTTTGAAGATTGAAAACGGACTAGTTCTTATAGGAAAGATAAATTATGTGTTTGGTTCCTATCTGCAAGCTGAAATCTTGGGAGGACATCTATCTTTTCCCAGATTTCATCACTACATTTGGATGAAAGGTGTAAGAAATTTCACTGACTGACTTTTTGTAGAAATAATATATTATCTTTAGTTGTAGGAGGTGGGATCTCGCAGTACCCCTTGAAGTTTGAGTACCAAAGCTTATTGATGCACCAGCTTCAGTATAAGCTATAGAGGCCGCACCTAAGCCAGTTCGAGGTGCAGATTCCAAGGGACTTTGGTCCTGTTTGGTAGAACTTATTTTCAGTTTATTTCAGCTTTTAACTTAATTTAAGCTATTTTGATGTGTTTGGTTCAGTTTAACAATACAGCTTATAGTTTTTTGTAAGTCAAAAATCAACTTATTCTTTGAGTGGGGGAGGAGAAACTTAATTTTTAAGTCAAAAATCAGCTTATGTTCACAGTTATAAGGTATAAGCTGTTAGGTTATAAGTTATAATTACTTTCCCACAGTTCTACCAAACAGGGCCTTTATATCGAACTAAAAGTCCCTTACGGTGGGACATTGTAGTTCTTTTTTTTTTTTTAAGGTGGGACATTGCAGTTTTCTTTTTTTTTTTTTCAGTTATATAATTCCTAGAGTCAGATCATTATTATGAGTCAAGAATTTTGTTGTCATTCTTACCAGCAGCCATGATCCTTGAGATTAACAAGCCCAGTCACTTCTTCTCACTATCTAATTCTCTTCTCTATGCGCTTCCAGTTCATTTGAAGGTAGTGGGTGACACAACATTTTACTATCTTTCCATGTCATTAAAAGGTATTACATTATGCAAAAAAATGCAACCCATGTTGGATTAAAATTTTCCACCATTAGCTAACTTTTATCCACCCTATTTTCCGGATTACATGGCATCTCTATAATTTTGTATTCCATGTATGTATGTTATATATCAGTATATACAAATTCATGAAGTTTATGAATATCCTTCTCTGAATGACCTTGTTGTGTTGGCTTGGCCATGCAAAAATTGTCACCCCTTCTCCTGAATATATTGCAGTCATGTTTATTTTACATGGCATATGATATTTTGGCGGGTATCTTAGAAGGATTATTTGAATATTATGTCCATTGATACAATTTAAACATGACCAACCCAGCTTAAGAGCAAGAAAAGTTGGATCTCTTAACTTTTCTATGATCTCTTAACTTTTCTATCTTGTGTGGCTTTTGCTTACTAGGATGGCTGCTACATGGGGAGATCCTTTGTTCTGATTCTTATTGCTGACTGACTGACTGTTCCTCTGTTGTCCACTTTGATTTGCAGGTGAATAATGCATGTGTGTTATTATTAGCAGCTCCCAGTCATTTTTCATGTGCTATTTATGACGGCGCTCGTGGTGAGTGGTTCTTCCTACTAGGGGGTGTAGGCTATATATGCTATATATAGAGATAAATGGCTGGGCTGTACATTTGTTTATCTTTGATTTTGTTCACCAGCCACTTGATCTTGCTGATTTACCTATTATGATATGACAAATTTTTCACTAGTAACAATTTATTTCTCACCTTAAAAATAATGCAAATTGACAATTGCATACTTCCTAAATTGGCCTCTTCCAGGACTATTTTACCCAGTACCTCAATTGTGTTTTGATAAATTAGATTATCAAACTAAAGTTCATGTGCTTGACACATTTTAGATGCTAAAAAAATCAAAATAAATTATTAATGAGCATGGCACTTTTGGGTCCCTCCCTCTCTGCTATATCAAATGAGTAATTGGAAAAGGTTATTAGTCCTGCAAGTTAGGTATACTAGGACCAACCGTTCCGTCTACAGCTGACGGACATAGGCAGTAGGGTATGTTTGGTATCGTTTTTCTTTTCTATCTTTTGTTCTCAAAATTAGAATAAAATGAAAATTGATACGGAAAACTTGTTTGATAAATTGTTTTTGAAATCTATTTTTTTTAAGTTTTTTGAAAGCACCCCCTTTGTAGGAACCACTATAAAATTATTTCTACATTTTTGAATTTTTTTTTTTTTTGGTACAGATAAAAACAGCGGGTGTATTTGAACTTTTCAATCTTTTGTTTCCAAAAGCAGTAAAAATGAAAATCGAACTGCAGTCACAATCTATTCTCTGGGCTTAAATGTCTTTAAGTCTTAGGTCTGTAACTTCTTGGTAGACTTTTGTCCTGTCTGGTTTTGCAAAGAATTTCACTTACAGTAGAGGTTATAGTGACATTTTTACTAAAGGAAAATGTTATAGCAACATCAGGATATAATGAGATGATTTTGCACCGACCACAGTTTTTAAAGGTGAATGTGTAACTCAAGGCGTAAGTCGTAAGGCGTTGAGGTGCAAGCATTTCAAATTTTAAATTTTAATATTTACTAATTAAATTAAATATTTTAAAATAGTGAAAAAATTAAGTAAGAATTAAATACAAAGGTGTAAATACTTTTCATCTTAAGGTATCGAACATTTCACTACAGAGAATGAAGCTTACCTTTATTGAAAGTGAAATTGGCATTCTTAGCTTTCATGGCTAAGCTTCTCACTTGAGCATTAACTTTGTATTTTTTGTTCATTTGTCATTTACTTAATTTTTTCTATAGAATAAAGTCACAAATATATATATATATATATTTTTTTTTGATGTTTAAACTATCTACTAGTCTAAGGCAACCTCTTCGTATACATACTCATCATATGATTATGTGCAAAAGGCATATTCTAAAAGTTTAAAACCATAATGTTACCCAAAAGACAACCTAAGAGGAGGGTGAATTAGGTTTTTATAATTAAAATTAATAATACCTTAATAAAAATTATGACTACCACAATAGATAAATATAATTAATGAAATAAAAATAATTAAAACAAGTGTCTTAACAACTATGTTAGTTAATGATTTTAGCACAGTAAAAATGTAAAATATAGCTATGGCAATTTAAAATAAAATAAATAGATAAGGGAGAGAGAGGCAAACAAATTTATAGTGGTTCGGCTTCAACTCGGCCTACGTCCACTCCTCACGTTTCACGTGAGATTTTCCACTATACTCTAGATTCACAAGGGTGCTAGCAACTTCTTTACAAATGGAGCAATCCTCCACGGATTTTACACAGACTTCACAAGCCCAAACTCTTGCAAATCTTAGATGATTCACAATCACTCTCAAGATTTCAAGAACACAGTGTTTGCAACACTTTTACAAGATGAAATTGTATTTTTGCTTTCAAAAAAAGCTTACAATAAATATCTCTCAAAGATAGATATCACATATCAACCCTCAATTTCAACAAAACTAACTCAATCATGCTCTTGATTACAAACAAACCTTGAACACACAAGATTACAAATTCAAACGTTTGAATTCAAGGTCAATTCCTTACCTAGAGGCTCAATTCTTCCAATCTATGACAATTTCTTGAGCATAGCTTCAAATGACTCAAGCTTTAGGATCAAAACCCCAATTTTCTTCACCCTCTCTCTCTTAGCCGACCCTCTCTTCTCTCTTGAGTTCAAAATCAGCCAAAGTGTAAAAAGGAGAGGAATTGAGGTGTAATGGCCCTTATATAAAGCCCCACTAATTCCAATATAATAACAATAAAGTAATTGGGCACTAATTCAATAATTGAATCGATTTAATCTGATTCGAATCAATTTCCAATTAAATTTCATTGTAGGCTCTAAAAATTACGCTAATCACAATGGCGCAATCAATTTCGAGTTCTGTGACCGATAAGGCCTTCAATTTAATTTCCGAAACAGGTAGTCAAACAGATATTCCTACGGTGAACAGATAGAAATTCAAAATCACATATTTTCACATAATGGCACACAAAATCATATCAAACACATAATCATATACGTATTAAGGCCTAATTAACATAATACAGAACAGGGGTATTACAATAAGGTTAGGAAATGATAGTTAGGATTTAGAAGAGGACAATGTCTTTTGTTAGGTGTCAACAGTTACGAGGCTTGTAAGTATTGACTTTGGAGGTGTTAGAGGATGATTTGAGGTCACCTCCGATCAAGTATTTGAGTGACCTAAAAACAAAAGTGGATAGAAGGATAAAGTATCAAGCTATGAATTATGTAATTATGGAGGATGAATTGTTCAAAAGAACCCATGATGGGTTGACTTTGCTATGTATTAAAGGATTAGAACAGATGCAAGTCATGGCAGAAGTCCATGAGGGCATTTATGGTGCTCATCAGGTAGGAGAGAAGATGAGATGGCTGATCAAAAGGCATGGGTATTTTTAGCTCTCTATAAAGAAAGATTGCATTGATTATGCAAAAGGGTGCCAGCAGTGCCAAAGGCATGGTAATGTGCAAAAAGTGCCAGCTAGGGATTTGGATTCAATTGTCAAACCTTGGCCATTAGGGGTTGGGCAATGGATTTAATTGGTGAGATATTTCCACCATCCATAAAACAACATGCATTCATATTAGTGGTCACAAACTATTTTACTAAGTGAGTAGAAGCAGTCCCATTAAAAGTGGTGAATCAATCTCATGTGATTGATTTTTTCAAGAAGCACATAGTGCATAGGTTTGTCTTGCCACAAACAATTACTGTCAATCAAGGGACAGTGTTTAATGGTGATGAAGTGATGGAGTTTGCCAAAGAGTATGGCATTCAAATGTTGAACTCATCTCCATATTATGCCCAAGTGAACGGGTAAGCAGAGTCATTAAACAAAACAATCAAAGTGACACTAAGTAAAGTGATAGAGGACAATCCAAGGGATTGGCATGAGCTATTATCTGAGGTTTTGTGGGCCTACAAGAATTCAACGAGGGATAGCATTCAAGCATCTCCTTATGAGTTAGTTTATGGTCATGCTATAATTCTACAATTAGAGGTGACAGTAAAGTCTAGTAGGGCGGCTAAGCATTATGGCATTCCTATTGATGAGTATGTAGAAGCCATGTTTATGGAGTTGCAAGATGTAGAGTGCAAAAGGATTGATGCCTTTGATTGTATGATGGCTCAGAAGAAGAAAGTTGAGAGAGTTTATAACAAGAATGTTAAGTTAAAACTTTTTGGGGAAGGTGATTTAGTGTGGAAAACTATCTTGCCATTGGGAACAAAAGACCTTGAGTTTGGCAAGTAGTCACTAAATTGGAAAGGCCCTTTAGGATCCATAAGGTCCTTAAGGGAGGTGCATATCAATTGGAATCTTTGGAGGGGCAACCACATAGGAGGAATATAAATGGGAAGTATCTTAAGAGATACTATCCAACTATATGGGAGGCTTTCAAAGGAAGTTGATAAGTGCATACAAAGCAATACATTTCATACAAAGACAGAGAACTTTGCACAAGAATAAAGTATTTAGTACACCAAGCCATGCAAAACGAAGTATTTATATCTATTAAGGAAAACGGACTATACAATAGTGTACTAATTACAAAAGATGGTAAAATATTCTGTGCAATACATATAAGAAAAACACTAATCTAAGTCTTAGGGAAGAAAATGGCCAGAATGCCCCATTCTGATTGAGCATCTACCGGCATGCTTTGAGCCTGGTCCAGTTTTGCTTTGACAGTTTGGATTGAGGAAAGACCATTTGTAATCTGAGAAAGTATAGTCCTTGCTTCTTGGCTAAGTTGTTCTTTTTGCTGTTGCAAATGAAGCCTTTTTTGCTTGACAGTGGTCAGTTCTGCCACAAGCCTTGATTTTTCAAGTGTAAGTGTTGCATCTTGTTTAGAAATGGCTAAGGTAGTTTGATGAGTGAGCTTGAGGGAGGTAGATATAGTTTGGGCTTTGACTAGAAAGTCCTTTCTAGCTAGGATATCTTTGGAATAGGTTTGAACCATTTCCAAAAAGAGTTGGCCATTCTAAACTGATTCTAGCTAGTTGTTTTAGCTGGATTGGATTGAAAGGATTATGGGAAAGGTTTAGAATAACTGTAAGGCAGGCCAAAACTTCATCACGATGATGAAGGGCTATTTTCTCAAGTGAGGTGTTGATGAGATTGAGGAAGGCGGTTAGGATTTGTTGGGTGTCAGTTTGGAAGTGGTGGACTCTTTGAGGAATGGGTGATATTTGATCCGGGTTGTGTTGGAGGATAGAGATTTCTTCCCAGTTGTCTTGAGTTGGGACAATGGCCTGTCGACAGTAACAAGTTGATGTATTAAGTTTTTCGTAAGCAGTAGAAGTGCGAGGATTTTGGCAGTGCTTAGATTTTATCAAGAAAGCAAATTTGTTTAAGTTAAAAACATTTGATATTTATTTAACTTAAACAAGGGGGGCATTGTTTGCACCTATTTTTGCTAAACTCTGTCGATAGGTGGTCTAGTCAATTTAGGACACGTGACCAAGTCCAGAGTGGATGTGTAGCATCAGAAGACAAGGGCCATCAATTGGAAGTGGGCTTTGCCGATGGGATACATTGGATAGTGGAGCAGTTATTGACGGTGATCATGGACTTAGTGTGCAGTCCTTCAAGAGGAAGCATAAACAAAGTGAGAGTCTTTCTCTGTCGAGGGAAGGTTAGAAAGGCTTGTAGGCACGTGATGACTTGAAGAAGGGGCAGTTTGACAAATAGAAGTAAAGGTCTAATGTGATTGGAAGGCCTAGAAGCCAAGAAGCAGTTGCAGCAGTTGCAGATTGAGAAGATCATGAGGGATGAAAAAGAAGAAATATAAAGGCCAGAAATTTGCAGAGAGAGAGAGGACATCAACAACAATATAACAACTTAGTTTTAGACTTAGGAGTAGTTTCAATTGTAATTTAGGAGTAGTTCGTTTGATTGTAACTTGTACTTTTTGAGTGAACTTCAGTAATTTCAATATGAAATTACTTCTGTTTATTCAAATCTACTTTGCTACCATCAGTTGATATAAAAGGTGTATTCTTTATTCTTGTTTACTTTGTTACCATTGATCCAAAGAACTCCTCATTCTTTTGAGGCATTCGAACCAAAACCATGATTGCCTAATTGTTCCTGTTTAAATTGTTCAGTTTGAATTATTGCTTAGTTACTGTCGATCTAACCCCAACGTAATTTTTACTAGCAAACCATCCAAGTTAATAATGTGAGAAAAGTTTTCTTCACAAGACTATCTTTGTCTGTGCCATAGTGTTCAAAGGTTTTTTTGAGGCTCACCTTGCCTTGAGGTGAAGGTAAAATGCATTAAGTGTTAAACGTATTTATTTTGATGATTTATTTAATTATATTTTAATCAAAATTTATTTTGATAATTTATTTGAAAGAGAAAAATAGAATCAAAATTTATTTTGTCCCATTATTTCTCACCTAAACCTTTATCCTAAATGTTGTTAGAATGTATTTAATATTTGATTAAATCAGGAGTTCAAACAGCCCAAAACAAAGGTTCAAACAGCCTAGCACAACAACAAGCCAAAAGGTTCAAAAGATTCAAGTGGAAGATATTCAAATTAGTAATGATGGAAGTACAACGGCTATAAGTGGCTATAAAGGTTCAAAAGGCCAAAAGGTTCAAGTGGAAGATATTCAAATTTGTAATGATAGCGTGAAAGATATTCAAATTGGTAATGATGGAAGTACAATGGCTATAAACGGCTATAAATTCAAATGAATACAACGGCTATAAACGGCTATAAATTCAAATGAATACAACGACTATAAACGGCTATAAACGACTATAATTTTCATTATATATACCAAAGCCTCTAATGTAAACAAGTTACAAAAAGCCTAAAAATATTCTTTGATCTATAATCACTCACATCTATTCTAAAAAATTATACACTGAGCCTTATAGCTTTAAGCCCATCTTTCCTGTGTGAGATTTACAGAAAAATCAAAGCTTTATTTTACATGCATGTAAAGAACACCTATGGAATCACAAAATCTAGCATGTGAATTGTAAATTATGAAAGATTAAAAGTGTAATCCCACATGCAAGCATGTTTTTGTTGAGTTTCATGGGAATGAGCACTAATTGCATCATTAGAAGTGGAAATGAAAGTTAATATGGGCATGCATGTTGGTTATTAAAAAGGGGAACCTTGAATGCATGAAATTGTTATGTTAGAGTGAGTTTGATGGGAGATTGCGGTATGCATGTGATTTATTTGTGAAATTGAGCTTCATTGGGTTGTAATTTGGGGTTTATACCATGTTAGTGTAATTATATTTGAGATTTGAGCCATTACATGCAAAAACTGTTGGCTTGAAGGTCGAAATGGAGCTCAAGAACACAATCTGGAAAACCCAGAATTTTGATGTCCGCTCGAGCGGGGGAAGTGCCGCTCGAGCGAGAAAAACGTGCTCCTAGTACTTTTTGCAGACTTGGTGTCTGCTCGAGCGGGTTAGTTCACGCTTGAGCGGGGGAGTTACGTAGACAGGCCTTCCACTCGAGCGCCCTATTTCACGCTCGAGCATATTTTTGATGCAACCAGTACTTTTGCAGGCCTTAAGGGTCCGCTCGAGCGTGTAAGTCTACGCTTGAGCGGGGACCCTGTTTTCTAAAATTTTGTTTTCGCATTCTGTGTTTCGTTTTCCGTTCTCTTTCACTTGTAAGCACTCTTAGGCATGTGTTAAGCATTGTAAATGAGTTAAAGAGATAAGAATAAGGCCTAAAGAGGAATATGTGAATTAACGAACGGATTGAATTGTTAATGACCCTTTTGTATTCATGAAATGTGTAGGGTCGAGCTCCAAGGCAAACCAACCAACCGATCACTGTGAGTAATATCTTATCAAAGATATCTGAATTATATGGCTGTCCAATTGCTTACTTCTTACTTTTATGTAAGGTTTATAAATTCGTCAATTCAATTGGTGGGCAACGTTTTGACATAAATGAATGAGCCAAAGGCCGTTTTGACATAAATGAATGGGCCGAAGGCTGTTTTGACATGAATGAGTGGGCCGAAGGCCGTTTTGACATAAATGAATGGGCCGAAGGCCGTTTTGACATAAATGAATGGGCCGAAGGTTGTTTTGACATGAATGTGTGGGCCGAAGGCCATTTTGACATAAATGAATGGGGCGAAGGCCGTTTTGACATAAATGAATGGGCCGAAGGCTGTTTTGACATAAATGAATGGGCCGAAGGCTGTTTTGACATGAATGAGTGGGCCGAAGGCCGTTTTGACATAAATGAATGGGCCGAAGGCCGTTTTGACATAAATGAATGGGCCGAAGGCCGTTTTGACATAAATGAACGGGTCGAAGGCCGTTTTGACATGAATGAATGGGCCGAAGGCCGTTTTGACATGAATGATAGTTTGATACGAATAATAGATTGACACGAATAACAGTTTGATCTAAATAATAAAATGAATGGGCCAGAGGCCGTTTTGACATGAACGAAAGTCCGAGTGGGCCAAAGACCAGTTTGTTATGAAAGATAAATGGGCCAAAGGCCAATATGTTTGAAACCACAGTCACTTGACTTAAATTATGTATATATATGTATGTTAAATAGAAATATGAATTGGGCCCAAGGCCGTTCAGAGTATGTTGTTCTACATATCGTTGTGTCTTCTTATGTGATATTATTCACTGGGCTATCGCTCACACTCATTCACGTGTTTGTAGGTGAGCCAAGAGAAGTCCAAACCCAGCCCCAGTGAAGTCTATGAGGAACAACAAAGGTTTTTGAGAGTCAACCCTTGTGTCTCACGCACGAGACCCGTCTTCGCCCATTTTGCTATGTATTGATATTTTGTCATGTTGGTGAAGTTTTTAAGTATGTCTTTATATAGTTTTCATGGGTTGACTTAGTTGGATGATCCTGTCTGTATGGAATCTTATGTCACTATGTTTCTATTGTGAGTTATTAACATACATATGTATGGTTTGTTTTGATGTGCACATACGCACGGCTCTATGGACAAAGTTTTAAATTTTTGCTTCCGTTTGGCCCCTTTACTCTGATGAGTTATGTCTGTTTTGGTTTGAGGTCGTAGGTAATCTTAGGATTACTGGTCGGTTATGTCCTTAACCCACGGGGGCGGGTTCGGGTCATGACACTTATGGAATTCTCAAACTAGAGGCTACATAGGCCATTTTGTTGGCCTCTTTATTCTCAAGTCTAAACATGTGTTCAAGTTTTGTCTATGTAAATTTTTTATCTGCCCAAATTTATTTTTTTTATCTGTTTAAATCAAACA